TGCTGTGCACACACGTTAGCCCGTTCGACCACCCCGCCCGTATCCAATTACACATGCTGTGGCCTCGTCCATGTTTTTATCTTGTCCCCTGGTTAAAACTTTTCAATTAGAAAATTCAACCCCGACGAAATTTGCCCTCACGCAAAAATTCTAAACCCCCTCAAAATGAGCCCCCTCAAAAATTTTAATGGCACAACTTGCGCCTTCAAAAACTTCAGACCAACGCTTATTTTGGCATAAAAAAATTATAAAGAATAAATTTTGAAAAAAAATTAAATAAAGAAATATTCCTGGTCTACGAACCATATTATTTGTGCTCAATTTTATAGTGCACGCCTTTCAACACCACCAAATAAAAAAATTAAAAATTTGTTTATATAGAATATCATCATCGCAGTGAAGGTATAATTTCACTGAACACCGAAAAAAATGACCCATTCATATTCAAATTTGAAATCGTGAATTCAAATTTTCGTCTTGATATCTCCGGGTAGGTAATGGTTGACTATTATTTCATGTTTCAATAAATACAATAAATTTAAATTGTTGGTTAAATAGCGCTCTCGATCAATATCCGCTGTCTTTATATTAGTACCACTGGTGCGGTTGAGCGAATGGCGCAGGGATCTCCTGGAGTCCTGCTTTTCCATCCATAGTTGGAGGGACAAGACCACCTCGGAGTCCCCTCGTCTGATTGTAAATAATATATATAAGCGTATATGTATATTTTTTATTGTGCTATTTATATATTTTTTGTACGTATAGTGTGAATGTGATCTTACCTCACTATAAGCAATGTCCAAGTGACAGAATGTTGTAATATTCAATAAATAAATAAAATCCGGTTAAAGAAAAACGTTGCCTTCTTTAGGTTCTCTATCTATAATTCACTTGATCGCCATTTTGTATTTCAGCGGCTATAATACAGCAAACGTGCAGCTTTCTTTTTAGGCCTGTGGCCATATTCTTGACAGTAGGCATAATTTATAAGATTAAATTTTAGTATGAAATAAGTCAATTTTTTTGCCACGGGCACCAGCACTATTAGAAATTTGGCTAGCCAAGGCAACTCTAAAAAATTTAAATTTTATTATTACTTAATTTTATAATCAAGTATTATTTAAATGATATTTAATTTAATATTTATCTAATTCGATTGATTAATTAATTATTGTCATACATTTTGTAATTTTTAAAAATTCCCAACAAGCGACTGGCGTATTCCCCAGGCTGGCCTACTCTAAAGCGACCAGTGGTATATTAAATCCCACAGTATTCAGTCATATTCAGCAAGAATTGAGTTGTGAATAACAGAAATCTTGAAGATTCTACGTCATTTCAGATAGCAATAATCAATTGAAATTTTATTACTCGTGCTTTGGATAATTTCCAAATCATTCGCCACATGTGTGTATTGCAGTATTTGTTAATTTTATTTTGTTTTCTCCTATCAATCTACATCTTAGGATATTGATTGTATGAGACTTTTCTAATGTTTACAATACCATTATAAGTATACATTTCAACACATCTAATTTTTTCATTACTACGATGGTTCGACGACAAAACTAATTTATCATTCTTTTCCAATTTCATTTAGTTATTTCATATTACTTTGCAGTATTGTGATCTTATTGCTCATCTTTTTTTTTTTTTATTGAGTATTACAACAATCTGTCTTTTAGACATTGGTTATAGTGAGGTAGGATAACATTCACACTATATGTACAAAAAATGTAAAATAAATAGATGCAAAATAATAATCAAAAGTATATACAATAAATAATAAAATAAAATAATCTAAAAATAAGAAAATTAAAACTACTTTTTTCTTTAATGTTTCTTTATAGCTATTTAAATACTTCTCTTATTACTTATGTTTTAGTTATTATTTTATTGTAATATGCATTTTGGCTAGATGTAATATTAATTTTTATGACCAATATTGTTATTCTTAAGGGACTTCGTCCCAGAATAAAGTTGATTATTCTATTCTATTTTTAAGAATTTCAGCGCGATTCTTTTTCCCTCTTTGAAAGGTTTGGCTTTACGATTGCCAAATATTTGCTTATCGTCTTTCTAAACATGTGACGAATCAATTCAAAAGCTGAAATTTGTCTTTTTTAGAATTTTGAAAAAAATAAAAAATAATTTTCGTTGTAAAGCTTCAATTTAACCGAATTTTGTGGATTTTTTTTCATAATTCAGCTTAATCATTACTTATTAATTCTGTGAAAGATATGATATCAATATAATTTGAAAAGTTAGTCAAATTCACCTTTGATAATACTGATATCCGTTTTTTAAACGAAAATTCACAAATGTTTGTTTTTTAAGCAAACACCAGCGGAAACCTGACTAAACTCCGAATGAAAAATTGGAAGAGTTAAATGCAGAAGTATATTGGTTCTACCAATTTTTCACATATAGTAAATAAGATCGTCCAATATTAATCGTGCAAGATTATTAAATATTTTGCCTTACTTTTTATTTAAAAAAACGATTTTTTTAAAGTGAAAACTTTATACGCGCGTATTGCACTTTTTTGTGGAAAGTGAATTAAATTGAGCTGTCAGATTTCGTTCGGTATTAACGCTCGGGTAAAGTCGGCTAGAGTCGACTATTTAAAATATTTTTACATATGGATTAAAATATTTCAGAAACTATAAATCGTGCCTGCATACTGCAAGCAAGGAAATTGTTCATCATTTCATCCTCTCTATAATAAGCTATAGTTCAAAATTGTATCTTAACGTGAAACCGTGTTAGAGAGGAGAAAAGGTAAAAATAGTGTTGAAAACCAATTGATAAGATTAATTTAACATATGAATTAAAATATTTCAGATACTACAAATCGGATATGTATACTGTAAGCGAGGGAATTTTTCATCATTCCATCTTCTTTTTTATGAGCTATTTATTTATAATTTATATTTCATATTATTAATTTCGCCTTGTTGATGTTCTCACGTATATCGTGTTGTCTAAAGCACACACCTTAGTTTTTTTTTATTTATCATTTTCTTAGCCGTGTTGGTCTTGGTCTTGGTATTTAAAGTGCAAGACCAAGACCGATTTTTGGCAGTACTATAATTCAGGTGTCCGTTTTTTAAACGAACTGCTAAGTTTTAAGTTAAATTTAAGATATGATTTTTTTTTTAATTATAAACAGATTTCACCACTTAAAATTCTTTAAGAATGAACTATTAACTCCATTTTAAATTTTGTAATAGATGTCCGGCTTTGATATGATGTCATTCAATTGATCTTATTTGTACTTAAATGGTGGATTTTAAAATTGCCATTCCTCTTAGTTGATATTTAATTTATCATTATTCATTACTTGATGACTTTTGGTTTTTTATTAATAGTTTTTTTTTTTTTTTGTATTTTTCATTCGTACTCATCCAATCCTTCCATTCCAAAGCCAATGCTCCATCGTAAGTAACCAACAAAACCCTACATCACCACCTTAATATCTCTTTGATTCTGAACCTTATCCAAGAACAATATTTCAAATTACACCAGAACCTTACATGTCATCCAAATCCACTTGCACAATCCCTGTCCAGCACCAGCCATCCCTACAATACTTCCCAAAGTTTAAATGGCAGTTGCCCCTCGAACTTTCGTAAAATTGAAGATTTGGTAATACCCGAATTCTTCATTCAAGATATGTATGTATACAGCAGCTCTCGCTCAATCTCCACTCACTTTTAGGACCAATAACCCGTTGAGGGAGTAGCGCTAAGAACTCCTCGAGTCCTGGTTTTCTCTTCACAGATAGTGGGACAACCCTGGTTCAGAGTTCTCTTCGCTGATTGTAAATACATAGGTATGACTTTGTTTTGAGAAGACTTTTTTATTTTTCCTCAACTTCAAATCCATTATTTTGTATTTATTTATTTTTGTATTCTATTCATTTATTATACTTGTTGTTTTAGTTTTATATTTATTTCACATTTGTATGTACATATTCTATGAATGAACACTTTATGAATGGGCTCTACAGTTGCCCTTCAATAAGGAAAATTAGATTATTATTTAATATTAAAAACACAACAAAAAAAAAAACTTTTTTTTCTTTAAGCTGTGTCGAAGATTTTTGGAGGGAGGTTAGGATTTTATATTTGTAGATGGAAAAATGTCGATATTTTTACAGATACATTTTTATATCGTTAAAATTTAAATAATATTGGACTATTGATATCCCATATATTTTTTATAATAAATTTTAAAAAAAATGAAAATACCAACAATGAATAACTTATTGTTTATTACATAAGAATGGGATTATTTTTAAACACAGTATCTCAAAAATATTAGTTTAATTTTTTTTTTGATTTAAAAATTAAAAATATAATTATTTTTATATGTTTCCGTCATCATTGATTCAATTTTGATTTTTTTTAGTACTAGCATAAGTAAAATTAATAATAAATGTTAATATTCTTATAGATATTTAGTAAATCATTTAATATTGATATACTTAAATAAAAAAACAACTTGTAAATAATGAAATCATCCCTGAAATTAGTAGGGATCATTATTCAACTATGAAAAATTGATCAATTTTCAATTTATTAATATCCTTCTAATATAAAAAGTTATTTTAAAATATATTAGTGGATTATTATTTCCACAGATTATGCTAAATGATATTTTTTTAAATGGTCATTTTCTGTCGAACATTTTATATAAACATTTAAAATAATAATAATTAATATTGTTTTTTAAATAGTGAAACAGCCAATGGAATTCATAAAGGAACTAATCTATCATTTTCACTATGTGGATGGGACAAAAATTAAAACGAACAGCAGAAACTATGGTAAATACAAATATCTAATAGGTTGTTTTGGGTTGCCAGTGGTTTTGTTTCTTGTCTTCGATGTTTTTCATCTGCTGTCGGTAAACAAAATAAATATTTAAAAACTTTCGTGTAGCGCTATTGTCGCTGTTAGATATTTCTGTTTCCCAAAGTTTGTGAAATGTCTAAACGCACATTAATAAAAACGCAATTTATTAAATTTTATTGATATACATTTAATTAATTTTAAATTATTACATTTAAAAACTTAAACTATTAGAATTTTCTCTGTGTATGAATATGTTATAGTGTGAAACTTGCTAATTAGGAAATAAATGTTCATAGAATTATTAAACTAGAAAAATTAATTATAATCATAAAAAAAAAAAAAATACAAACAATTGATATTCGTAGATGTTTTTGACTTGATATTTAAGAAAAAAAATATTTAACATAAATAATTTTTAATTTAGACCAAACAATTAATATAATAATTCATAATTAATTTTAATGATTTAATAACTTATGAAGCGCAGGTGATTTTGTGGAACCAACTGTATTCACATTCTTTCTTGATCGCGTCGAATTTTCGCCACCAACCGCAGGCATCATTAACCCATACGCCGTTTTTGCATACTTTGTAAGCTTTGCAATCAGGATCAACAACCCCAATCTTGTCTCCTTCCTTGCAAGGAGTAGGTTCTGTAGATGGTGTTGGAGGATCGGTGGGTGGTGTTGGGGGATCGGTGGGTGGTGTTGGAGGATCGGTGGGTGGTGTTGGAGGATCGGTGGGTGTCGGAGGATCGGTGGGTTTTGGAGGATCAGTGGGTGGTGTTGGAGGATCGGTAGGTTTTGGAGGATCGGTGGGTGGTGTTGGAGGATCGGTGGGTGGTGTTGGAGGATCAGTGGGTTTTGGAGGATCGGTGGGTTTTGGAGGATCAGTGGGTGGTGTTGGAGGATCGGTGGGTGGTGTTGGAGGATCGGTGGGTGGTGTTGGAGGATCGGTGGGTTTTGGAGGATCGGTTGGTGTTGTTGGAGGCTCTGGTGTTGGAGCATACTTGCAGGGTGACACGAAAACGAAACGGCAGGTTTGGGTTGTATCGTCGAAGTTCATGCAGTCCGCACAACTCTTCTTTACTTCTTCTCCCTTGACGCATTCAAAATAATCCTTGCAGGATTTGCCATCTCTTCGTTTGCTACCGTCTTCGCAAGCTTCATCCGCATCCCTTCTGGCTCTGCTCAAACCTCTGTGTTGGAAGGCGTCGTCGAACCGACAGTATTGGAGATCTGGGTCGAAGACTTCCCCGGCTCCGCAGACCTGTATCGAAATGCGGCCATTGATGCATCGATAGTACAGGTTAGCGTTGTCGAGATGAGAGTACGCTCTGCCTTCAGAACATTTCGATCTATCAACGCACCTACCCAATGCGCATTTAAGTTTTTTGGGATCGAATACTTGGCCAAATTTGCATTCCTTCAGGTGCCATGATCCGTTTTCACATTCAGCGTACCGGCGACATCTTGTTCCTTTGACTATCTCCAGAGCCCCATTTTCACAGGCTGAGGCCGCGGCGTAAGCACCTGGAAAAAATAAATTAGATATATTAAATTTAATTCATATATTATTTATTTATTTCTAGCTTATTATTGTAGTATTTAATCGAGCCTAGCAAATATCAAATAAGAATTTTAAAAAGAAATATTAATCACTATAGGGAATGAGAGTGGGCGATAGTAAAAGGAAAAGGGTAAGAATTTCGCCCCTCACTTCAGTCCAAGAATTACATTGACTTAAATGATACAAATAACTTAAATAAATTAATAAAACTAGTAGACTAACCCAAATAAAAAAATAGAAAAAACACCAAGCAGACTAGCTTAAAGCGCAATCATTATGCATATCCTAAAAGTCGCTATTATTTAAACTTTACTTTCTGCATTTTTTGAATTCTCAACTAATCCTGAAATTATTGTAATTTAATTCAATAAAAATTTGTATTTATATTTACTTTAATTTAAAAAAAAATACCGATTTATCCCTACTCCATATGTAATACGTTTCCTAGTGGAACTGTTCAAAAAAACCAACAATTTTTTTTTTCTTTTGGTATTACAGATCTTGTAGATGTTTGCCCCCTTAGCAAGCCTACTCGATCTCTCTTAATCTTAGGCAATTTCTTTCCATTTATCTGCATGCATCTGTATTGCATTACTGTTGATTCGATAGATGATTTTGGCCATCCACGTGGGCATTTTCTTCTATTGTCGTGTAGATGGATTGTTCCGAGGTACCATGCCTCGCCCAACTTAACCTCCTTATAATATCATGAGATGTTGATTGACCAGTTTCTGTAAGCTCTTTAATGTTCTCTCTTCTCCATGCGTTAGCATTCTGATCCCAGATCGCTGTGGTTATCGTACGGATTTTCTCTAAAATCATTCAATTTTTTTTTATATGGTTAGTATCGAGGTCTCACAACCATATATTATAACTGACTTTTTCATAGCATTTTCTGTTTGCGCTTGTTATACACAGCCTAATTTTGACCGTTGGTCATTATATTGAGGTTACTGTTGTATATTAATTTGTCTACTGTTGGGAACGGTGTCCCTTCTACACAGATCCTGTTATTGGGGTGGAGTTTTTGGCTTATCATATATTTTTGTAAGACGGGTTGCCAGGAAAATAATGAATAATTACCATTGAACTTCTGCGAGTATATTATGCTGTTCAACATGCATGGAACTATATCTATAAGCTAAATTACATAAAAAGTTAATAAATATAAGCTAATAAAATAGTAACTACGATAAATATATTAACATTCAACAATAAATAGAAACTCACTAATAAAAAATCTATCAAAATAACAATGTGCCTATAAATAACTAAAATAACAACATGCGCATGCTAGATATATTTCTATATAATGATAATTAGGATGCTCGAGAAATAAATATGGTAAAATAATAACACAGGCAATAAATAGTCCAACTCCCAACCAGACGTCAACCTCCAGAAGGTATCGTATTCTTTGACGTCCTAACAAGATATCCCCACTGAAAAGAAACAACTATATAATTTCTCTATGTCAAGCAATTCATAAGGTTGATAGGAAATCGATAATGATAATGATCCATCATTACTGAACTGCACAAGGTAGTTCAGTTTGCATGCGAAATGTATCAGTATTTACTTGCTCGTAGGGATTTATCCTAATAAAGGTGTATTCTTCTGTTATCTTCTATTTAAGTAATCAAGAGTAGTGCTCACATAGGAGGCATGATACCTTCACCATTTTTTCGAACCTTCCTACCAGTTTCTTCAACTCAGTGTAGCCACCGGTGATAGTTCGCAGCTCCAATCCTCCAATATAGGCCCCCCTCACAATTTTGTTTTGTCTTCATTTACTTGTAGCCCGATTTGCTCTGTTTCTCTTATTACTCCCAAAGGGATTCTTTTTGTCTTCTTGATTACTTCCAAGGTTAGAGTTGAACAAGGCAGATGAGAATCCATCTCGTAAGCCAGTTTCAAGTTCGAAGACTTCAGATGCTTCTCCTTGTATTAAGACTCGACATTTAGGATAATTTGTACAAGCCTTTGTCAATCTCATCAAATTACCGGGAACTCCCAGTTCAGTCGTGATTTTCCAAAGACAGCCTCTGTCCATTGAATCATATGCTGCTTTGAAATCAACAATTAGGGTGTGGACGTCCTGAGTTACTTCCTATTGTTTTTCAAGTACTTGTCTTAGGATAAAGACCTGGTCTAGCGTGCTCCATTAATTTCAAAATCCAGCGTAGTGGTCACCTATTATATTTTCGTAATAAGGATTGTAGGTTTTCCATCCCTGGGATCTTTCTCAAAATCAAATACAAAATTATTTTATTTATATACATATAATTCTCAGTATTACACTGAGTTGAGGTGGCTATACCCATCCTATCGCCATCAGTACTTCCTAGCTACCTTTTTGTATCAAATCATTAGAACTTATCGACCCTCCTATATTTTACATAGCTTACAATTCAAATACTCCATCCAATCCCGTCCTACTAGATCTCGTACTTCCGAACTCTATCCTCCTCCTCACCGAACTGCTGCTTTTGACAAATCCTCTGCAATTCAAGCCGCCTTCTTCTGGAATTCCGTCCCTGCTGATATTCGACACGCTCAATCAGTTCCCTCTTTCAAAGCTCTCCTCTTTAAACACCTACTCCTTTCTCAATCCGACTGATTGTGAAATATATTTAAGAGAAATATCTAAGCACCCCCAGAGAATACCTCAATTTATTTAGATTATTGTAGTTTCTCATATATATGTACAATTTTCTTGTTCTTTTCATTCCCTTCTTCAGTACTTTTATTTTTAGTCAACTCTTATTGTAAATATATAATCTAATTGTAACCACACAGACATACAATCTGTATTTATAATTTGTTCTCAGAATAATAAAATATTTTTTCATTTCATATATATATATATATATATGTATCGTCGTGTTATATATATATATATATATATAACACAATAAGTCATAATAATGGTTATATGCTTATGGCCACAATACCTTACTCATGTTATAATAATGTGTTGTGATTGCTATTTTTATGCTGAAATATATTTTGTACAGTAGAAAAAAAACCTACATAAGTTATAAAAATTAATAAATAACACAAAACTATATACTGACATTAAAATGTATAAACAAGATAAAATTGAGCACACATCCATATGTTTTATATCTTATAAATTATTATTCAATTGGCATACAATATGCAGGCCCGATTTATAGTTTCTGAGATATTTTAATTCATATGTAAAAATATTTTAATTATTCGACTCTAGCCGACTTTACCCGAGCGTTAATACCGAACGAAATCTGACGGCTCAATTTAATTCACTCTCCACAAGAAAGAGTAAAACGCGCCCAAAGAAGTTTTAACTTCAAAAATGTTTAGAGCAGTAATATTAATTACCTTTTATTTATTTTTATTTATGCTATCACGAAGATAATGTTACTTTAGAAGTATAATTGTTTGGAAATAATAAACTATAGTGTAATAATTTGTAGGGTTTTTTTGTTTCGTAAGACATTTATTAATCCTTGAAGGGAAGAGTGTGTAACGTTTTAAGCTATTCCCAAATTAAGTTTCGTTTTATTCATAATTTTTTTCCTGAAAATTTTTTGGATAAAGGAAGTGTAATTAAGATTCATCGATTTTGCATGAAATTCCATTTCAAAAACAAATTAAATAAAAATTGAAAAACTTTCTAAACATATAAATTTATTTTTAAATATCCAATATTATGATTGTTCGTTTCACAATAAGTAGGTTGAATTTATACACATGATATGAACTACCGATATTTTTTATCGTTCTTCTACCTCCAATCAAAATAAAAAGTTTGCGCCTATGGATGCTGTATTTTGGTCAAAAATTTCCAACATGTCGGATTAAATAATCTTGAGATTTATACGGGATTTTATAAATTTCTCGACCAAATTGAATTTACCCAAGAAAATTATCGAAAAACAAAATTGTGTAATAGAATTTTTATAGACAATTTATTAATGGCTGTTTTAATGATGTTTATTGTGAAATATAGAAACGAATGAATTCGAAGTCGAAGTGAACAAGTGAATTATTTTGAAAAATTGTATATATATATATTTAGTATATATTTTATATATACTTTATCGTTACAAAATAAGACAATATCGCACCGTCACATTTTATTCTTCAGTAAGATTGCTCTTTAGCCATCGCATACAATAATGCTTTCTTGGTAAGTTATTGACACAATTTATCTCGAGTGTCTTTTCATGGTTTCTTGGGACAGTTATGAATCAATACCGATACAATCATAATTTTTTTTTAAAGATATTTTATAATTGATATCAATACACTCATTTTTTTTTTTTTTTTTAAATAGATCTATTTTATTTTTACTTTCTTACCTATACTAGGTAAGGAAAGAATTGCAATCGGGTCAAATTTCCGACATGCGGTTTTCGACAGATCTATGCGTTTCAGAGCACCCTGAGTAAATCTAGTTCAATTTTTGATTTATTATTTTCAATAATGAAACATTGTGATCGACCAAAAAATTCAAAAACATAACCCCCTCTCAAAATTTGAGGTTTCACGTTTCAAGATGCGTAGAATTCGAAAAACGAATAAAAATTTTTTTGTCCGTTCGCCGTCCGCGCATTTTCTCCGAAACTACTGGACCGATTTTTTTTCAAATTTTGATATAAAATCAGAGGTCACCCGAGGATGATCCTCCTTCATCGACATTACCATCCGCCTTTTACTTTCAAAATGGCGGCCGAAAAACCTGCGTTGCTATAGACTGTAGCTCCTAAACGAATCTACAGATTTCAATGAAACTTCGCTTAAGTCATTTTCTCGACGCCCTTTAAATTTATCTATATAACATACTTCAACAAAAAGAAGCTGGATAAAAGTTAGGAGGGATGTTAAAATTAAATTCCGAATAACTCAAAAAGTTTTTACTTTTTTGTGGTTATTGTTATAGTTTTTTAAAAGTTTATGAAATTTCCTAAAAAAACAAAAAAAATCGTTAAAATCGGACAATTAGGAGCAAAAGCTTAGTCTAATATTTGGTATCACCTTTTTTTCTTTGTAACTCGGAAGGTAATGTTACTTTAGATGTATAATTGTTTGGAGATAATAAACCATTGTGAAATTATTTGCAGCGTTTTTTTTTTGTTTCTTCATGAACATATGTAAAGATATAAAAACTTTTCTGAAATAGATGGGAAAGTCGTGTGAATGGACACACCAGATGTTTTTTATTTATTTAATGAAATTTACAACTGTATAAACAATACAACTAGTTAAAATGCACACATTAGAAATCATGACATGAACAGACTTGAAGAGATACTGCCCAGTAGTAGCAATCCCTGTTTAATTCTAGATGGGAAGATCAAGAGGCCATCTTCTTTTCAGGCGCATAGGGGAATAGATCTATTTTAAAATAGAAAACTTTGTGACAGATTTGTTCATAGCATTCGTAAATGTTTCTATCCATAAATAATTTTTATTGAGTAAAAAAATTTGAATCCTTCTTTTTCCAATATTGTTTATTTTACGAGAGTCTTCTTACTCATTTATTTTAAATTTATTAAGTAATGACATGATATAAAGGATTTCTTAATCCAAAGATCTAAGTGATAGTATAGAATAAAGTTTATGAATTATTTTATTTCCTGCATCAAAGCAAGATTCGCCAAAAAAGTCCTTGACTCCTTTGGAATCAATTGTACAGCATCACGTGCAAAGTGCCGGATCAGGTGAGAAGTGATTTAATGGTGGGGGGAGGCAGTTTTATATTACAAAATTATTCAATTACTTATTGCATTAGTTTCTAAATTTTAATGTTATTTAATTTTTGTTGTATGTTCAATATTCGTTTATCTTCTTTTTACTTTTTTTTATTGTTATGGTCCTATATTTTATTTCTAAAAGGTGTTTTTGATTTGTCGGTACGCCATAACTTCGCCGATTCTTCATCAAATCCAATGATTCACAACTCATTTTGAAGATGTTCTGCTCCTTCTCAGGCGAAAAATAATCATATCCCCCCGAAATTGCTGGAAAAAAAGTTATGGAAGAAAAGAAACTTTATTTGCGAATAACTCAAAAAGTATGCATTTTTCTCGTAATTGTACCCATGATAATTAGAAAGATTACTAAATTCCCTACATGACAAAAAAATCGTAAAATTCGGACAATTAATAACAAAGATACAGTCCATTAGTTTTGGTATACTCAATAATGTCTTCCTGTTTAAAGATATTGCATTTAGGAATAGAATAGTCTACTACACTTTTTATCTTGGCTTTTATATTAACTTTATTATTTCTTAAAGACGTTTGGTTGTTCTTACATTTTATTTTTTTAATAATTTCGAATATCCTATGATCGGGGCATTATTTTGTCTTTATTACTTTTATTATTTTTCCAGTCAGCGTTTAAAAATAGGTCCTAGCAAAGCAATTTGTATAAATATTTTGGTCTATTATGTTTAATGGAATATTGTAATCGACCAAGGAAAAAATATTAATTCCTTCCTTACATAATACATAGGAACTACTTATTTCCACGTTGTTTTAATATTTCTTCACTAAACAAAATTATCTGCGAATTTTTCGCACGGACCAGCTAGTTATATGTTAAAACATTTTAGCATGTTAGTTGTTGGATAAATGTAGATTTATCGCTTTGATAAAAAGTTTTACTTTAAGTTCAGGCAAGTAAAAAAAAAGAAAGAAACGTAAAAAAAATTGTAGTTTTTGTTTGTTCCTTTGTTTCTATCTTTGAAATTTCTCTTCAATTGAAAACTTGATAAAATATGTTTACTTTAAAAATTTTATGTATCTTCGTAAATATTTACCCTCCCCCCTCCCAAATATCCAAAACCTAAGTGATGATGCGCCTCCAACAAAACTTTATATATATATATATATATATATATATATATATATATATATATATATATATCTTTCTTTGTAATAATAAAAAATAATATACATATATTAGTATTCTATGTAATTCTACGTATATTGTAATAGTTTCATTATTTGATTTTCCATATATTATTAGTATTATATATATTAATTAATATAATAGTTCATGGCAGAAGCAATTTTTTTTTCTTTATGATTGTGCTATTCCTAAAAAATATCGTCAATGAATAAAGTTATTTTTTATATTTCTATATCTGTGTGTATACACAAAGATTCCTGTGTATCGAGGATGGCTATGTACGATTTTTATAATAAAAATTATACAATGAGATTTTGGAAGTAAAGAAAAATAAATGAGTCTGGTCAAGTTATAGATAAGAGTGTAGAGTGATTTTTTGGAGGAAAATGAAATCGGGACGGAAAGACTATTATATATCAAAATATATAATATTATATATAAAATACAATATATATATATATATATATATATATATATATATATATATATATATATATATATATATATACAATTTTTCTTTGAACAACTTAAAAACTTTAAATATGCCAAAAATTCTGAAATTTTAATTGGTAGTTTATAAGTATTTTACCAGGATAAATTTAAACGTAAAGGCGGATATAAATGAATGAATTATTTCCGTATTCTTATACAGATATTTGAAATAAGATAATGAAATTACAAAATATCGGCAAATTTACAACTAAAATAATTTACTTCATTTTTCACACTGGATAAATTGATTTAGCAACTATGAAAGCGATTAATTTTCCACGAAATATGTTTTGGTTACACAGCCAAGCCTAGTAGCATTAATCGGAATTCGGCATTCACTGAACTGCAGTTCTTCGATTTTGGAAAGTGATATGAGGGGGGGGGGGAGAGCGCCTTGGTGAAACTTCTTTATTTCACTTCTAACTTAATTATGGCACTGTCTTAAATGACTGCCATGGCTATATTTCAAAGAATAATCATATACACAATTCATCTGTAACGAACAAATACATATTGTGGCTTAACGAAATAGAGAAAAATAGATTTTTGAGGTTCGTTAATTAAATTAAAAATGCCTCAGCAAAAAAGACTGAATACGATGACGATTTTAAATTAACCCTCTTTAGGTTTGAAAACCCAGACAGCAATACATCAAAGGTCGCCTGATAAATGAGTATGACACTAAAAATATCCAAGATAATAAAAAAAAAAACTTAAACAAATTTTAATGTTTAAGATTTAGTGTAACGACTCATTTGGAATCCTCATACCAGACTGAAACGACAAGGAACCACTCGACGTTTTCGACTACACCAGCGTTTTCGAGTGCGCTTACTAGACAAACGCTCTAAACTTCCATTTACTTAAAAAGACTTATATATATGACTATAATAAGGTCTATTTGGACTTACGAAATCGAACTTTGTGTCTCTAAACCATCGAATTCCTCTCGTATTAAATTCTTACAATCCGAAATCCTCCGTAAAATCCTCAATGCTCACTACTTTGTCACAAATATAATCATCCATAACGACCTTAATGTTCCATATGTTTAGCTCAATCCAGATACCTGTCCTTCCATAATAAACTTCTGAACCATCCGAACCTTCCAATCCGGCATCCTCTTCTATTCCTGATAATCCTCGGAGGTGTCTGAAAAGAAGAGATGGCCTCGGGACCTTCTAATATAGAACTTTAATTTGAGTTCTACCAATGGGTAGCTTCTCTTCATGTTGTACATGTCATGCTACCAATGTCAGATTTACTTGTTGTATTTTTCATGTAATACAGTTGTAAATTTCATTAAAAAAAAAAATAAATAGTGTAAAATACTCAAAATCCACGACCATTTACCGAAGAACTAGTGAAATTTAGACACCTTTTCTAATTAAAAAGAATTTTCGATTTTTTGAAGAGAGTTCACTAATTTTCCCTGGATAATATCGATATTATAAACAATCATATTATAAATGTAAATATTTTGAAAAAATAAAATAAAATTATGGAAACTCACTCGAAATAAGCAGCGCTATATGGAGAAGCTTCGTCATAGCTGCCCACTCTAATGATTATATCTACAATGCGTTTATATATATCTTATCACCAATATACTTTTCTTGGGTTATTTCATTTGTCAATGATAAGAAATATATCTAGGCACTTGGCAATGTCGAAGGAGACTTTTGATGAGATAAAAATTGGAGTGGGCACAGTGAATTGCTGTGAAAAGTATGAGTCTTAAAATTAAAGGTTTGGTTTATCGGGTGACTCTTTGTAACTGACGCATCAGGATGTTGAATCTTGAATTCGCTCTAGCACAATGATGACAAACTAGTAGCATGAAATGCAACTAGTAGCATGAAAAATGCCTCTTGTATAATCAAGATTTTAAGTTATTGTGAAATGGTTTCCAAAAAGGTTCAATTCAACTACATGATTTAGAAGCGACCTTGATTGATTTCAAATGTTTGTCGTATTTAGCCCTTAATTTTAAAATATATTTATTTTTCTTTATTCATGTTATATACAAATGTATTACAAATAAAAATACATTCAGTAAATGTGAACAAAAGAATATAATAACATGAAACCACTTGTTGAGAAACTACCCACTGGAAGCACTCTAAAATGTATTTACATTAGGAGATTCGTCATTAGGAGACGCCTCGGAGGGTTATCAGGAATCGACGAGGAAGCAAGGTTAGAAACGAGAGGGTTTGGATGGTTCTGAAGTTTATTATGGAAGGATAGGTATCTGGATTGGGCCAGATCTGAAACATTAAGGTCATTATGGATTGTTTTATTTGTAACAAAGTAGGGAGTATTGAGGATTTTACGAAGGATTTTGGTTTGTGAGGATTGGATACGACAGGAATTTGATGGCTTAGCAGAGCCCCATAGCTCAACTCCGTAAGTCCAAATAGGTCTTATTATAATCATTTGTAATTAACTGGAAGCTTAGAGCGTTTGTCTAGTAAGTGCTGGAGTAAGCGAAAACTTCGAGCGATTTTTTGTAGTTTCAGTCTGATATGAGGATTCCAAGTTAGACGTTTGTCTAAGTATAGAGTCCAAGGTATCGGATTTTTTCAATAGGGATAAGTAGGGTATTATTAAAGGATACTGTAGGACAGGAGGACATAAATTTACGAAGAAGTATAATCGTGATTTGATGGGATTTATAATTTTAAAATATAAAATTAGCTCTAGAAATACTTATTGTAGATACATTAGCCCTAATTTATTATTATTTCTTTATTTATGTTTCTATTTTTACATTTACCCTTATATAATATTTGATTGTCCGGAAAATAATGAACAATTTTGGTTTAAAAAGTATAAAAGAAAGATTTACAACTGTTTTATTTAATCGAAATAGCTACTATCAATACATTTCTGTCAACGTGTTGCCAACTTTTCATTTCCCTCGGAATATTATTCCCATCTTTAAAATTAATAAACCCCCAAAAACGCATTTTCTGATTCCTTTTGTCCATTAACATTATTGTAAAGTAATTAGTGGTCCAGGTGTCTACAAAAATGTTAATTCGTAGGCGAGAGGTCAGGAGAGTAGGGCGGTTGTGGCAGAGTTTCATATCCAAGCTCCAACAGTTTATGTGACGTCACCCATGAGACATGTGGCCGGACGTTGTCTAGCAACAAAAAAGGCCCCTTCTGATTCACCAAAGATGGCTTCATTATTGCCAACTTCTGATGCATTGCATTAATTTGGTTACAATATGATTCGGCATTGATGGTTTCTCCAGAATTTAAGAAGCTGTGGTGTATCAAACCAAATCAAGACCACCGAACAGTAACCATCACCTATTTTGATGAGTTGGGGCTTTTGAAAACGTTCTGCTGCTTCTCCTTTGTCGAGCCATTGTCCAGAACGTCTACTGCTATCGCCATAGGCGAATCTACGGGGATGGGGGCTTTGGGGCTGAAGCTTTTTTAAAATTAAATCCTGGATCAGCTAGTAGTTATCGCAGAGTATAGTCGTGCCATGAGATGGTCATCGACGGTCGATTTGCTAAGGTTAAGTGTCCCTGCAAGTTCTAGAACAGTTGTTCTTGGGTTTTCTTCTACCAAAGCCTGCAGAACATCGTCATCAAGAGAGGAAGTCCTTCCACGACCTTCATTGTATTCAAGCCTGAAGTCACCCTCCCGAAATCTATAGAACTACCGTTGAACAGTCCACTCATTAATGCTCCTATCGTCCCAGACTTGATTGATGTTTCTAGCCGCCTGGGCCATGAGACAAAAATATCACGCGTTGACATCTTAGTAAAGACTGAATTATTTCTAAGCAGCGAAATGCCACAGAGGTAAACAAACATTATAGTTTGGAAGATGATTAATAAGTGTTGACATTCTTAGAAATGAATAATCCAGTAAACGTTTTTTTTTTTTATTATTATTTGTATGATATTTACAACTGTATAAAAAAAATTTCCTCGATCGCAATACTTACACTTACTATATATTACATATATACGTAAGTAAAAGTAAAAATATTTAAAAATCGCGATATCTCTACTAATAGTGCTTCGATTTCGATGAAACTTCTTTTGTTTTTTAGGTAATTTAAATACCTTTGAAAAAATTTATCACAACATTTCCAAAAAAGTGTATACTTTTTGAGTTATTCGGAATTTAATTTTACCATCCCTCGTAACTTTTTTTCCAGCTTCTTTTCGCCGATGAATGTTATATAGATAAATTTGAAGGGTGTCGAGAAAATGACTTTAGCGAAGTTTTAATGAAATTGGTACATTCGTTTAGGCGCTACAGTCTATAGCTACGTTTTTCTGCATTATTATTTTTTTTCTCCTTTATTAACTTATCAAATTCTTTCAAAAGTTATATTTAGCATTTTTTAGTAACTTTGAATAATGCGAAATAATTAACTTTTTTAAATAAACCATATTAAAGGTACTTTAGAGGAAGACGTACATGAACATTGGGCATTTAAGCCCTGTAAAGTGACATCAATGGGGATAAGACCTAATTGATATTAAAGACCACTTAATTATACAATGATACACCGAGTTTAGTGAATATCGTTAGAGCCGTTTTTGAGAAAACTGTGAAAATGTGTTTCAGCGTTGATATAAAGTGGCACTTCCGGTTAGCCGATTTTAAGGAAAAAGTTGCCGTCGCAACTAAGGCATATACCTATCTTAAATACGTGATATCAGTTTCATAGGACTTTTCGTTTTTGAGGTCAGACTGCTAACATACAAACACACAGACACACAGACCATTTTTCGGGACTTGGTCATTTCGACTCAGGGTACCTCAAAAAGCATAAATCCGTCGAAAACTCATATTCAAAAATTTTCTCGATCGCAATACTTACACTTACTATATATTACATATATACGTAAGTGAAAGTAAAAAACATCTAGTAAATTCGTACATGGATATAATGACATGAAACACATGTTGAGAAACTACCCAATGGTAGCACTCTAATAATATATCTATATTAGGAAAGCAAGGTTAAAAACAAGAGGATTGGGATGGTTATGAAGTTTATTATAGAAGGATATCTGGATTGGTTCAAGTCTGATACATAAGGAACATTAAGGTCATTGTGGATGATTTTATTTGTTCCAAAGTAAGGAGCATTGAGGATTTTACGAAGGATTTTGGATTGTAAGAATTGCATACGAGAGGAATTTGAAGGTCCAACTCCGTAAGTCCAAATAGGCCTTATTATAGTCATGTAAATGAGCCTTTTGTGATTAATTGGAAGTTTAGAGCGTTTGTCTAGTAAGTGCTGAAGTAATTGGAAACGTCTAGTGGTATGAGAGGTAATTCCAAGTGAGACGTTTGTCCAGGTGGAGTCCTAGGTAACGGATTTGTTCAACAGGAATAAGTGAGATGTTGTTAAAGGATACTGAAGGACAGGAAGTCATTGGTTTACGACGTAAGGGAAAGGTAATTTATTGGAATTTATTTTAATCCTCCAGTTTTGACACCATTCTTCAAGGTTTGTGATGTGTGATTGAAGAGTTTGGGATGCAATTGATGGGTTGTAATTAACTGATATGATGTGTTATCGGCATATGTGGTGATGACAGTTTCAGGAAGGGTTGGGATATCAGCTGTATAAACTGTGTAGAGGATAGGATCTAGGATACTACCTTGCGGAACCAGTAAACGTAAAGAGATTATTGTTTAGAGGGTTATTTTAAAGAAAACTCAAAATCCTGCATTATATGCTGGACAACCCAATATTATGTTAACTAATCACACCAACATTATTGCAGTTTTACAATGGTTTATTTTCACTTATATAGCTTTATATATTAACTTATATATATTTTTCAGTTTTATGTTATTTAGCATTCATTTCTCATTATTTTAAGTTTCATATTTTCTAATTCGTATAAAACTATTTTGTATATTTTATAACAAATAATATTGTTGAGGCTGAAACGTCGCTACATATTACAAGAGGTATTACACTCTTGGCCGCACCTCTGACCAACATCAATGAATTAGTAACATAAGAAGAATATTTATATATTATTTATATTATATATTATCAAATATATATATAATATATAAGAAGATAGGTCGGTTTGGAGGAAGATAGTAGAAGAGGCCAAGTACCATAGCGCCATCGGGTGATTATGATGATGATATATTTGATTATAGATTTTATTTACTATTTAGGGAAAACACATACATAATACCACTACAAAGAGGAAAATCACAGCCAATTAATCTTTTTTGCGCACTTGATATCTCATTTTTAAATAAGGATTCATCTTTCAATATAATGAATTTATATAAGTGTAATCATTTAAATTAAATATTAATTTTCTCAGCTTTTGATAAGTGTTTGGTTCAGATAAATTAGCTGCTTTCTCGTGTCAAGGGAGGGGTGTTTATTTATTCTTTTCTTATTATGTCAGCTCCTCAATATTGTAAGTGAACGAAATCTATAATGTAAGCAATATTGAAGCTATTTTATTGAGAAATATAACATTATGTCACAATAAGCATATTGATCACAATGAGAAAAGAGTTGATTCACACTATATTTACTAAAAACGCAAATAAATAAAGGAAAAATTATAATAAAATAATAACATTGAAAACAAAAAATATATATTTACAATAAATACCAATAGAATAAATTGAAAGATAAATAAAGTAAAATAATAGCTTACACGCAGACATACTCTGCAGTAGCTCTACTCAGTCTCAGTTCTGAATAACCGAATTCTGGTAGATGATACTAGAAAAAATTTCCAACAAAAAAGTTTATTTGATGTATGGGCCGATCCCGAACGGAAAAGGAGTTAAGACCAATTTTGTGTTTTTATTTAACTTGGTTGCGATTTTTATTGAATAAAGAAGGAATTGCTCAAAAAATGTTTAAGATAATTTAATTCTAAGTACACCATTGTAAAGCAGACAAAATTTTCTTTGAAAAGACAGTGAATACATTTACCAAAGGTAATGATAAAAGGTACTTTGAGGAGGTCTAATACAGCTGCAGTTGTAGTACCCGTACCTGAGCCGCATCTCTCTGTAATTTCGATTGGTGAAATAATTCGGCATAATGGTAGGCTTTGTGTTGGAAATTAGACCTTCTGAAAGTCCCTTTTATCATTGACCTCAGTAAATTTATTAATAATAATCTTTCCTATCATCTAGCAATTTAATTAAAGCCATAAATACATGGGCTATTTCTGTGTTGAATTATACGTTTGGAGTTCTAAAATGGTCTAATACGGAGCTGGAGGAAATGAATCGTTTAGTAAGAGTTCTTTTTACCTCAGCCAGGAAACGACATCCCAAATCATCGATTGAAAGAATGTACTTGCCACGGATAAAAGGAGGAAGGGGACTTGTCTGCAGAGAACAAGAAAATAATTTAAGGTGCACTTTCCAACTAAGAAACTCTCCTGCATGGTCAGCCATAAAATCGCTGGATACATGGATGCCTACACCGCTTTAAACTTAGTTTCAAAGGAACATAAAGAAGTCCCCACCGAACAAAATCTGGTCGAAAATTTGAAGATTAAATCACTACACGGTCGTTTTTACAATACTTTATCTCAATCGGGAATTAACTGGGAGACCTCTAATAAATGGCTTAAGAAAGTATACTTATTTCCCGAAACTGAAGGGTTTATTTTGGCAATACAAAACCAGGTAGTATCCACCAATCCTTATAAAAAGTATATATGTGGAAAAAATGTAAGTGACCAATGTCGCTTATGTAAAAATGCAATAGAGTCAATCCAACATATTTCGTCAGGATGTCAAGCGTTGGCAGGTGAAGAATATCTGACGAGACACAATAACCTGGCTAAAATTGTTCACCAAGCCCTCGCCTCATTAAATAACATGATAACAGATGAGGTTCCTTATTATCGATATAAGCCCAAACCGGTGCTATCGAAATAAAATAAAATAATATTTTGGGATCGATCTATAATTACAGACCACACGGTAGTAAATAACAAACCGGACATTGTATTAATTGATCGGAAGAAACAAAGTGGGTATGCCATTGATATAGCGGTCCCAACCGATGATAATATCAGAAAGAATATTTAAAATAGTAGGAAATATCACGATTTGTGCCAAGAGCTTCGGCAACTTTACAAACTGAATCAAGTCCAGGTATATCCTGTTGTAATTTCCAGTAATGGCCTCATCCCAGACGATACCATTCGCTCTGTCGAAAGTTTGAAATCGCCAGAGAAAGTGTTGGAAGAAGGGCACAAAGCAGTTCTCCTAGGCACAGGGAATATCGTCAGGAAGTTCTTAAATATAGTTTAAATCTTGAACCTAACCCTTGACCATGGTCCCGGTAGGTGAATATTTCTGGCAAATGCCAAGAAAGTATGAAATAATCTTTTATTTATTCTAGGACTAATCTCTTTAGAATAATTAACAAGAACAGAAATGTGATCTTTTGAGCCTCAGATATATATATATATTTAAAAAAAGTAAATGAAAGAACAATGAGATGAAAATAATTGGAAACAAACTAATAATGTATGTATATAAATATTAACAGAAGTTTCTATTTACGATTTCAGAGGGACTGGATGGAAAGAAAGTGATTGAATAGGCGGGATTTAAAAGTAGGGAGAGTATTGGATCGACGGATGTCGGGAGGGATGGAGTTCCATAGGGACGAGGATCGAATAATAAACGATTTATCGAAAGCAGCGGTTCGGTGGGCCATTAGAGAGAGAAATACTTTATTAAAAGTAATGCTGCCCTACTACATAGGGTTGCTTCGTACACAGCATACCTATCAATCCATATGGACATTAATTTTATATTTTATTTTTCTATTTTTTATATATACATATGACATATCTGTCCTTTTTTTCTTCCTCCCCCAACCATAAAATAAAATCATATTATACATAACAATATACATAGCACAATAAACATTTTCCCAAGACAAAAAAAAAAAAAATTCCCTGTTTCTCTCTTTAAATTCTCAAACGCCGGGAACTCATTACAACATCGCACACATATATAACACAGCAATTCCTCGAATGTAGACAAAATGATTAGACGATTGTGGACCAATTTAAAATTTTATTAATAATTAATACCAGACGTCCTCAATCAGTATATAGATGATAGTGGATGATCCCCAGGGAGTCCAAAATAATATTTTCGGCCAATACCGCTAGCTCCCCAACATCAACACCTAGTTCCTGGAGGAAGCTCCTTGTTCTTTCCGGTATCGTTCCGACCCCGATCTGATCTGAAGACCGGGAACGGGTATTGCGGGAGTGGTCTGAGGAGATGTAAGAAGGACGGCTGAAGATATTTAATCACTATTTTATCAAAGAAATTTATTTTTCTACTTTAGGATGGTAAAATTTAACAGTTTTTGAGCAATTCCTTCTTATTCAATCGCAGCCAAGTTAAATAAAGACACAAAATTGGTCTTAACTCCTTTTCCGTTCGCAATCTTCCTATGCATCAAATCTTTTTTGTTGGAAATTTGGTCATGGTACATAAATGTGTTTGTACTTACTTGATTTTATTAATGGATCCACTTATTCTTTTTAGTATAATATTTTTATTTCTCTTCCTTTAACCTTAAATTCCTGTAATAAACATCTTTATACGAATTTAATTTCTGTTTTTACTACTTCACAATTTTTATTAATTATACATTTATTATGGCAACAGCACTATTACATCTCTCCATAACATAAATGTCATTTTTTGTAAATAGATTCCTTTTTCATGGGCTTACTATGAAATATAGAAAAATAGGGAGTTAAGAAGGATATATTATCAGCTTATTGCAAAAAGTCATTAAGTGACATTTCATATTCTTGAATTTTCTGAAAACTGGTGAATTTTCTCTTTGTGATATCAGAAGATTGTGCGCTTGTTAACTATATTTGGTATATAAAAGGGTTTGTGTGTCATTTTGGTGTACGTGCTGCGCTATTGTTATCGAAAATAACGATAAAATTATTGCTTGTGAGTGCCAAGCAAGCACTCAACCTCCCAGGCCGGGTCGTTGCCATATTAACACCACGTGACACTAGCCTTACCATCAAAAAGGAAATAGGTCTTGTCTGGCAATCCATGTGAAACGACATTCCACCTCAAACTATTTGTAGTGAGGAAGTTGCCTTAACTAAACTTCAGGATAAGACATACATAGCTAACGAATTCTTATCTCATGACCAAACAGCCTGCACCAAAATACCAACACTACAACAGTCAATTCCTACAGTCAGTCACATTCACCAAGAGTGTCCTCATTACAGATCAATTCTAACCAAATTAGGACTCATACCAAAGTTGTCAGTTGTTTTAAATAATGATGAAGTTAAAGTAAGATCGGTAATAATTTTTTTTAAACTTATTATTTACTAAACACAATTTAAACTTGATTTTTTTTTCTACAATAAGTTATAATTGGAATGAAGATTAGATAAACGATGATGTTCTCGGGGTTTTACGCCTCTAAGCCCTAAATTATGACTTATCAAAAAATGTACTTTGAGACATTTTGCAATAATCTGACGATATGTGTTAAGGGAGAGTTCCCTCACGGGTAATGGTGTTGTTAAATTGTTTTATTTTGTTTCGTGACACTTGTATCCCATAAAACTGCAAGAGTTCGACAACGAATCGAAGTACTGCAACCAGCCACACCTCCTGGTGACCAGTTCTCCTTCGTGGCACTCCAGGTAGTACTTGCAGTCCGGAAGGGCACGCCTGTGTTTGCAGTCTCCGAACGGTAAGGCCGAACTCTCCGGCTCAGAAGAAGTTGATGGCACCTTCACGGTTGTTGTCACTGTGGTCGAAACTTCATTTCCAGCTGCTGTCGGGTTCGGAGACGATCCTCCGTCGCTCGCGATTCTCGTACTCGTATCGATAACCTCTGTAGTGTCTGAAGGTGATGGATCAGATGTCCATAATCCTGGGCCGCCTGTTGACGAGCCTTCCGAAGGTGAGGTTGTCGGTTGTCCAGGAAGCTGACATGGATAATCGAATACATAACGGCATTTCTTCTGGTGTTCGTCATAGTTCTGGCAGTCCATACATACCCCGATAACTTCTGTACCATTTACACATTCGTAAAACTGCTTGCAAGAACCTTCTTTTTTACGAGTTTCTCCATGGTTGCATCGGGCTTGTTTGGTTATGAAACTGTTTGCTACAACTTTTGGTCTGGAGGACGGCGAAACGCATCGCTGTTTTTCCGAGTTAAATATCGCATCGCCTTGGCATATATATGAAATTAATTTTCCACCAATGCACTTATAATACGCTGTCACATCGAATACATCCGAGTACGTAGTGTCCTCGTCACACATGCTACCAACATTGTCACCTGCACGCTTCATCTCCAGTTCTGAAACAGAACGTTCAGACCTTGAATGTGAATTCCGATCTGGAACCTTCGATGAGGTTTCAAGACATGTGTTTGTTTCATAGCTGAATTCTTGTCCGTCTGGACATCTTTTGGGAAAGAGAGTTCCATTATGGCACTGGTAATATATCCTTGGCTCTTCGTGATCCAGGTACAACGTGCCTTCCCCACAGTCGAGTTTCCTTTCAGGGGTATTTTTTATGTCGTTCATGATCCCAGGTACACACTGATGTAGGTACCAGTTTCCTTTGATACACAATGCCGAGCGGCAATGACCATACAGCTTCCGCCTCTCTTCATCTCTGCAACAAAGGGCCGCTCCGACTGAAACAACAAATAAAGTTAGTAAAATCCATGCCATGAGGATTTTGTTATATATTTTGTGGTATTAATCCAGAGGAATGCACCTACATTAAAATACACAATAAAAATATTAGTAAAATAAAGAGTGAAAATTCGCCAAGAGACAGAAAATCAATGTAAAGGCCGGTCCAGACGCGCGGTTTTGCACACCGCTTTGTCTACGCAGTGTTAAGACGAAATGAAAACGTTGCAATTTTTAGAGCGTCCACACTCCACAAACATATCTTTATTTTGCTAAGTTTTGTGTGAGATCGTCATGGAGGAGGTTTTACTCTGGTTGATTTTCGCGATGTCTTTTTAAAAAAAAAAAAGATTTAATATCTCAGAACTACCGGACGTTCAAAGTGGTCGCGGAAGTGGCGTCTAAAAAGGCAGTATTTTGCAACGATTGTATCAATTTCTTAAAATTTATTTGCTGAAATTTCATACGCCCCCCCCTTCTTATCTATGTCACTGTATTATTTTGATGTAACAGGCCAAATGCGCGGGAAACTTTCATACAGAGCAATAAAATCGGTTAAAAACTTTCATTAACATTGCCGAAGGTCGGCCATTGTCGCCTTACGAATTGAAACTGAGTAACAAAATGAATCGGAAAACGGTGCAGTTCAAGCAAATCTATGCTCTCTGGCTCAGTTTTACTAAAACTGTACCGTCTTCGAAACGGATTCCAAATTGCACAGTTTTCCAGTCCACACGCAACGTTTTGAACTGCGCAGACAAAACGTTGTGCAAAATGGAGCGTCTAGACCGGCCTTAAGGTTATAATTGGAAAAAATCAGGAAACTTGTGCCTTTAAAATGCAGATAAAAGATTAAAATAACCAGTCAACGTTTCGCCAATTCAAGCATCGTCTCAAAAACGAAGAGACGCACGAAACTGATTTTGCATATTTAAGATTTATATATGGCTGCTACGATACAAGAACAACAACTTTTTCCATCAACAACCGTAAGTGTCACTTTATATCAACGGCCATAAACATTTTTACAACAGCTCTAACGTTTTGATTAAACTCGGTGTGTCATTGTATAATTAAGTTGTCTTTAATATCATTTAGGTCTTATACCCATTGATGTCACTTTACAGGGCTTAAATGCCCAATATTCAACATGTCTTCCTCTAAAGTACATTTAAATAATTAGCTATCTCTTATTGTTGGGGGTTATGAAAAAAAGGCTAAATATAACTTTTGACAGAATTTGATAATTGAATAAAAGAGAAAAAAAAGTAAAAATGTTTGTTTAGGTGGAAAATGAAACTTCAGAAATACTAGTCAGAAGGTATAGGTATAATACATCGTTGAAAAGCGGAGGATTTTATATAAAGCAATATCTAGTATATAAAACCGTAGAAGGTATTGGAGAGTGATGAAAAAATTATAAATACTAATTAGAGAAAACTAATATTGTTTAATGAATATCGCATGTTTCCAAGGAAATTAAATGAAATTTCCACACTAAATGTAAACTTTTAAAATTATTTTTAAGTTTGAGTAAAAAAAGTATATAAATTCAACCAAATCAAGGCAATGGCATTGTTTAAAAAAACATTTCATTGTACTTGTGTGAAAGAAGAAGTGAAATATAAAAATGTTTCCTGGATGTTTATAACATTAAATACATTTACTGTAGTTTAGTGATTATAAATCTGATATTATATTTAAATAATTAGGTAAACATCGTCAATTTAATAAAAAAAAATTCTTTTCGTGAAATCACAGCATTATAATCCTAAAACTGTATATTGTAAATTTTCCAAGGATAGAAATGAATTTATATGTAAAAAGTGGTATAGATTAAATATCTATAATTTTCACTATTTATTACGATCCTTACTTATTCATAATTATATATATATATATATATATATATATATATATATATATATATATATTATTTTTTTTTAAACATTTTATTCAGAAATATTACAATCTGTCTCAGATAATTAAATATATGAACTTTGAAGTCTCTCTTAGTCAATGAGTCCAGAGCCTGAAGTTCTGTGATTCAAATAGACTGATGCAATTATAAGGTTTCTATAGCGTACATTCGATATAACAAATGGGGTTTATGTTATCATTATGATCTTAATGAGTATTTGTATTGATAAATATGGCCGAAATTCACAAATATGTTGTTTAAAATTTAGCTGCGTTAAAAATGTTTTTCAAAAACCTCTTGTAATAGCCCAATTTTGCTAGATAAGGATTACTTTTCGAAGTAGAGCTGTAAGTAAAAGTTCTGTGATGAGCGCAACAGGTTTTTTAAATTAATAAGCCTTAATGAATACAAACTTAAGACAATTAAAAATATAGATTATGACATGTCTGTGCACTTTTTAATATTTATTTTTAAAGAAATTCCATTTAGTTTTATGAAGTTGCTTATATGCCATTCAATGATATTCAAGCAGACCTTATTGATAACAAAATTTTCTAATCCTAACATTTTTATCTTATCAACTTTTAAATTTAAAAAAATTTAGGCTCGTGTTAACATTTTTAATGCCATAGTCCAATAAATTTGTTTATAAACTCAATTATTTGCAAAAGCCTTCCTTATTTTTCATCACGTTTTTTTTCTTTCTTATTTTTATTTTTTTTTTTTATTGGTCCTCTTCACAAAATACAAAACATTAAAACAACAACAAAACCTCAATAAATATGGAATAACGAAATGACTGTTACAATATTTTGATAATGATAGATTATTTCAAAGTCGATATTTATGTCGATTTAAAAAAATAAAAAGGCTTAGGATTTTTTTTTGGAAATAAATTACTCAATTAATTTATGATGAAGTACATTTTTTTTTTCATCTTTGTTAATACTTTATTAAGTCCAAAAATTTAGTTATCATTTTAAAGATTCTCTTCTTAGCCAAAGTACGATAAAAAAAACTTTTTTCTTAGTTTTCCACGAAATGACTGAAAATTTGATAACAACGGATTTTTACGAATGAAGTATCAAATGAAAGGATATTCGATAGAGACGTGAAAACCCATAATCTCATCCTCTCGAATGTTCAGTGGAAAAGATTTAAAAGATAGAGAACAATATTTATTTGCGAATTTTTCAGATATGTTTTTTATGGAGAAACAGAGTTCAGATTTGTATTTAGCCACTCGAAGAACCCTCAAATAGAAATTTTCATAGCAATTGAACAAAAAACTTTTTTCTTCTAAAGTGCACTAAGGCTATAATAGTTTTATTTATTATTAGTTATTTTAGTAGTTTAATATTAATTTTTTCGCAAAAATCAATAAAAATTTGATCAATGAACGGATATTTATGAATGAAGTATCAAATGAAAAGGGTATTCGATGGAGACGTGAAAAACCATAATCTCATTCTCCCAAATGTTCAGTGGAAGGAGACTTAAAAGAAAGAAAATCATTCCTATATTTTCGTACTGTTAAAATAAAATGTATTATTGGAGAAGAGAGGACCTTATTTGTCGGATCTAGCTTTCTCCGTGTACGATTTGACAAAATAATGAACCCACAACCCTTCATGGGCTGTATTGGTACAGGTTTTTTTATTATTGAAATTTCTTTTTGCATTTTTATTATTATTTTGTTGTTATGTATAAATAAGTTTCGTTTTGTTGATTAATCAATACATGACCTGTTCTATATCCACCATTTTTCCAACTGTCCCCTAATTCACTCCCAGAATCAGGGTAAGGTTTTACTGTTGATTATGTTAGATAAGGTACGGTAGGTAGGCGTTTACATGTGGTAGTTAACGTGACAATAACTGTCACCATTACGGAGAACATCTATCTACATCAACATTGCGAAATAGGTACAGTCAGTTATCGCGCAAAATCTGACTAGTTTGAATTATATACCATTGCAATGACTGTTATAGCGTAAGTTATGTCAGAGCAATGTTATAAGTTCATAATTTATTTTACATCTTAGGTTTTCGACCACCATCGTATTATTGTTGTGAAGGGAACCACAATTACAATATTTACCGTGGTCAAAATGTATATTGTTACTACTATATTGTTTTTATAAAATTAAAAATAGGTGCAGTGCGCGCGTCACAAAGATTTCACTAACCATCTCAATTAATAGCCCTTATTGAATACAAACTTAAGACAATTAAAAATATAGATTATGACAGTTCTGTACACTTTATTTTATTTTTTTTGGTTTATTAAGCTGAAGAAAAAATTTTCATTTATTTTTAAAGAAATTCCATTTAATTTTATGAAATTGTTTATATACCATTAAATGATATTCAATGATATTGAATGACATGCAGACCTTATTAACAACAAAATTTATATGTAGAAATAGCTATTTCCATACATATATAATTAAAAGTAAAATTATAGACGGTATATTTCATCTAAAACTATTAATTATCATATGTTTTCCCAACCGTCTAATCTATTAAAGACAAGAGTGTTAGTGATAAAGGAGATCACAATATTTATTTATTGTGGATATTTTTATTTGTAGAATATTTATATTGCTGTAATATATATAAATTAAATCTAAATCCCCATCCCCACGTATATTATTACAATAAGGCTCGTAATCGGTTTTGTACCAAATATAAGCTCCTGTCATGCTCAAATACCATGAATGGGGTACCGTTTGATTCAGAATTTCATAGGGTGGTTAGCGAATCGCATTCTCCACTTTTATTTTTCTTTCTAAAATAAATAAAGTCGATACAAACATTTTTCTAGGCTTCAATACTGAAACGGTGGTAAGTCTGTAGATCGATACGGGACAAATTGGGCTTTGAAGATTTTGATTCGTACAGGGTAAAGCAAGGCACAGGGTTCTCATCCACACAACCTTACGTTAATTTTAGTATTGTCATTGAATAAATGTCTCATTTCGTCGACTTGAGGCCTCTATGATCGAGAGAGGAGGAGTTTATATTATTTATCGATGGTGTTTTTGATCGGCGAGATCCATATCATCGATAATTTTTCACCAAATTTCAAGATTGAGCCACCAATTTCGAAGGATTCCTTCTCCTTCAGGTGAACAAAGTAGTCCGATCCCCCCGGAAATTCAGGCAAACAAGTCATGAAAGAAAAGAAACTTTATTTGCGAATAACTAAAAAAAGTACACACATGCTTATATAAAAAATTACTAAATTTCCTACAAAAGGAAAACAAAAATCGTCGAAATCGATTAGAATTTTTTTCTAATATTTCGCTTCCTCACTACCGAAGGTAAGGAAGTATTGTATTCGTGCGAGGGGTTAAAAAAAAATTAAGCTCAGATTCGAAAATTTCCACTCGCGTTTTACGTTTCAGACATCAAGGATCAAATTTGGTTGAATGTCTGTCTGTCTTCAAGTCAAATTGATATAATGGGCATGCCAATGATTATATAGAAGGTTACTAAATTTTCTTCAAAAGAAAAAAAAAATCATCGAAATCGGACAATTTTTAGCTTATTGAAATTTGTAAACATATTGCTTCCGAACATTCATGAAGTTTTAAATTAATTTTTGTTTCCTTTTTCGATTAGATTTATCGATAAAGTAACAATTGATTTTTTTATTTTATGACACATTGCATTATTTTATTTTATTATTAATTTAGCATTTGATCACTTAACAATATGCTGTGCGAATATTTCGCACCGGCCAACTAGTATAAAACCAGCGCTAACAGTTATGGAAAGTATTTATGTATCATATTCATATCATATGTATCATATATCATATTAAGCTCGTGTTATCTTAGGAAGCCTATTCTCGATTCTCGGCCACGCTCGGGGTATCTTCGGTTCCACTTTATAATAGCTTATTTCAGCTTAATTAATTATCAAATTATTTCTTAGTTAATCGCTGGATACAATGTAAAATTATTTCAAATAATAAATAAATAAAAATCAAAGATACTTTAGATAATTTTTAAAATTGCGCATTCACCCCACGTGAAACTATTTTAATAAGAATAATAGAAAACTTAATTGTTCATTCATATGACAAGTTAAATCAAAATAGTTGGAACTGTTTTTAAGAAAATAGTAAAAATTTGTGAAATCTATTATTCAAAGTTCCATATACACTCACAGACCCTTTTGCGAAATTTTGTTATTTGAACTCAACGATCCTCAAAACGTATATTTCCGTTGAAAATTCTAATTTAGAAATTTTTTCAGTTGCAATACTTTCAATTACTAAATATTTTATATATACAAGTAACTGAAAGAAAAAACGCTGCAAATTATTTCACAATGGTTTATTATTTCCAATTAATTATACATCTAAAGTAACATTACCTTTCTAGTTACAAAGAAAAATAAACAAAAGGTGACTCCAATTATTGGACTAAACTTCCTTTTTTAATCATTTGTAATATGCTTAAAAAAGGAGCATTACTTCAGTAACACATTCAAAATTTAAAAACCAAAGGATGTAACATTTGGAGTAGAACATATAAAAAAAAAAACCTGAAACCATATCTTTACTCTTAATTGTCCGATTTTAACGATTTTTTTTTTTTAGAAAGTTCGTAAACTTAAAAACAACATATACAGTATCGACAAAAAAGTGTAAACTTTCGGAATTTTATTTTACCATCCCTCGTAACTTTTTTTGCAGCTTCTTTTCGTTGAAGTATGTTATATAGATAAATTTAAAGGGCGTTGAGAAAATGACTTTAGCGAATTTCAGTACTTTCATTGAAATCGGTACATTCGTTTAGGAGCTACAGTCTATAGCAACGTAGGTTTTTCGGCCGCCATTTTGAAAATAAAAGGCAGATAGTAATGCCGATGAAGGAGGATCATCATCGGGTGACCTAGGATTTTATATCCAAATTTGAAAAAAATCGGTTCAGTAGTTTTGGAGAAAATGCGCGGACGGCTGACGGCTGACGGACAAAAAAATTTTTATTCGTTTTCCGCATTCTACGCATCCTGAAACGTGAAACCTCAAATTTTGAGAGGGGGTTATGTTTTTTAATTTTTTGGTCGATCACAATGGTTGATTATTGAAAATGATAAACCAAAAGTAAAAAGAGGTGATGCTAAGAGGTGATTTGACCGATATCACACTTAACAGCCAAGTTTTTTAAGACTACCCACTTCATATAGGCTAGGTGATTTGACCTAGGTTTATCGATCCACTGTTGATATGGAAAAATAAATAATAACCTGTTACAACCAGACTAGAACAGACTGGAGTACAAGAGCACAGTGCTTTACTCTCTGACTTACATCAGCATTTTCAAAATACCACTATCACATTATTTCGATTATACGAGAAATAAACGTAATCACTCACCGAAAAACAATGCTGCGAGGTGTATCCATTTAGCCATTTCACAAACTTGAATTAAATTTTGATATTTCCAAGAATGTTTTTCCTTCGGGAGGAACAGAAACAGATAAGGGACATAGATGATGTAAGACTGAGGATATAGAGGAACAAACATGTATGGATTAGATCGTAAAAAAAGCTCAAGACCTAATCCTTGGATTTAGCTAGGTTGATCTTCAGGATCGGAGATTGGCTATCATAAAAATCCTAGATTGTTCCGCGATAAGATAAGATCGTATTAGAGAAAATCTTGTTATCTACATATGTATATCAGATAATATGTACTATTTTGGATAGATACGAATTTTTTATATTATTAACCAAACGAAAAATGTAGAACTTCAGATTGAATTTGCAATTTGCAAAGGGCAAATTTTTTGGCAGCTTCACAGCTTCCCATCACGTCCGGGATATAAATCAGATCAGCAGGTCTCTTGGCCAACGCCTACGTAATCGTCGTAGAGGGCTGTACGGGTTTCTTGTACGATGAAGGGTTTCTGTCAGGGGATTCATGTTGTACGTCAGTCTTTGGTGAAAGTTATTTTTGTAGTTCTCTTTTGCAGTATCTAAAATTTTAGGTACGTTTAAGTCTTCATGTAGTGTTCATGGTGCGTCAACTATCCTTCGCAACACTTTTGACTGGAAGGACTGAACTTTTTTAATGTTAGAAGTTTTAGCTGAACCCCATAGTTCTATGCCGTAAGTACAAATTGGTTTAAGTAAAACTTTATAAAGGGTTAGTTTGTTAGTTAAAGATAATTTTGAACGTCTGTCTAGTAATCTGGATAAAAGACCGTATCGTCTGTTTAATTATATTCGTTTTTGTCTGATGTGAGTCCTCCAAGTAAGTCTTTTGTCCGATAAGAAATTTAAATCATATAATTAAGAGGTTCTAGGACAAGAAATCAAAAATTTAAAAATAAAAGCTAAAATTTTATTTCAATGTCTTGATATGAACTGAGGGAATGAATTAATACTTTAGTGAGTTCTGGGCCGTTTTGGAATTAGATTGAGCGTACCAGTTAGGGACATTTTGGACTTTGATTGTAAATAATATGTTTCATGTTGATTTAAAGGTTCCAGTTTTTTTCTAGATTGAAGAACAATGCCCTCTATTGACAACTGTACGAACAAAGTTCCCAAAAGCAAATTTTAAAATGCCTATCATTGTTGTTTCTATAGTGCTCTTGAGACCAGTGTGTTTCATACCTAACTACTAACAGTAAGTTGAACATTTATGTTATCTTCTCTTTAGAGTTGAATAAAGATTTTAGAATTTTACTTAGGTTAGAACAATTGAATTAAGGGATGTCCATCACAAAACGTGTTTTTTTTTCTTAAATGGAGATTATACTTGCACAACTGAATATTTTTTTTAATTTTCAATTGTTAAATAGAAAAAGGAGACTCTAGATATCCTAAATGTCTAACGGAAAAGCTTATAATTATTTTTTTTTCTTTTTTCTGGGAACTTGTATGATGTTCTTTTATGAAATTAAGTTTTTGATAGCATTGGGGTCCTTTTGGAGTGATTATTCAAGGCTATTTCTGAAAAGATGTTGATCCGTAGGAGGTTGTAATGCATAACATTCGGTTAGGATATGGTTCACTGTGAGAGGTACCCCGCAGGAAAGACATTGAGTCTTTCCTCATTAAGTACTCGTGAGTAAGCCTAGTACGTCCGATTCTTAGCCGGGTCGGTACCACTTCTTCCCTTCTGGTCAGATAGGAGATTTAATGGATGTAAGCTACTGTAGCCTTATAATGGGGTCTTATAATAGTTGACAGGTCTCAACTCTCTTAAATTCAAAGAGATATACTAAATATAACTGGTCTTAAAAATGGATCATTCACTAATGTCTCGTTAAAATTTTTTTTTTAATAATTTCGATTACATTTAAAGCAAAAATAAGCTTTCCTTTTGCCAAAAACAGATTCTTGACAGGGACTAGCATTTATTGATAAATTCAAGTCGGGAAACACAAGAAATCAGTTTTATAATTAGTTAAATGTAATTTTTGTTAATCTTAAAATGAAGAATATGAAATTTCACTAAATTACATCCTTGTTCTCATTCCTGTCAGCTATAGGAACATAACAAATCAAATAGTGTCAGCTGCTGGTACAACAAAATTATTCTATTAATTTTCAATTTTTTTTGGTTTATTATTTTCAATAATCAACCATTATGATCGACCAAAAAATTCAAAAACGTAATCCCCTCTCAAAATTTGAGGTTTCTCGTTTCAGGATGAGTAGAATTCGAAAAACGAATAAAAATTCTTTTGTCCTTTAAATTTATCTATATAACATACTTCAACGAAAAGAAGATGGAAAAAAAGTTACGAGGGATGGTAAAATTAAATTTCTAATAACTCCAAAAGTTTATACTTTTTTATTGACAATGTATACGGTTTTTTAAAAGTTTACGAAATGTCCTAAAAAAAAAAAAAATCGTTAAAATCGGACAATTAGGAGCAAAGATATGGTCTCCGGTTTTTTAAATATGTTCTACTACAAATATTATATACTTTGTTTGGTTTTAAAATTTTGAATGTGTTACTGATGTAATGCTATTTTTTTAGCATATTACTAATGCTTAAAAAAAAAATTTTAGTCCAATAATTGGAATCACATTTTTTTTATTGCTTCCTCACTACCGAAGGTAGGGAAGCATTGTGTTCGTGCGAGAAATTAAAAAATATTTTTTGCTCAGAATCGAAAATTTTCACTCGCGTTTTACGTTTCAGACATCAAGCAAGGATCAAATTTGGTTCGGTTTCTGTCTGTCTGTCTGTCTGTAGTCAAATCGATGTGACGGGCATATCACCTAGTACCGTTCATCCTATCTTCATGAAATTTTCAGAGATTATGCTGATTGGTGCCTAGATGGTCCCATATCAATTTTATCAAATTCCACCCAGCACTTCTGCTTACGCACGCGCAAACGTATATTTTTAGATATGCCAATATTTCAGAAAGGGCTCGTTTGATTTGGCTCAAAGTTAGATAAAAGGTAGACTTTGGTGAAAAAATAACTTAGTATCAATTTTATTGAATTCTGTCCACCACTTTCTCTTATAGTAGTGCATACTAGCCCGCTGTCCGCCGTCCGCTCATTTTTCCGAAACTACTAGACCGATTTTTTTTAAATTTTGATATAAAATCAGAGGTCACCAGAGAATGATCATCCTTCAACGACATTACTATTCGCTTTCTTTTTTCAAAACGGCGGCAGAAAAACCTGCGTTGCTATAGACTGTAGCGCCTAAACGAATGTACCGATTTTAATGAACCGAATAACTCAAGAAGTATACACATTTTTGTTAATATTGTATATGATTTTCTATAAGTTTGGGAATTTCCTAAAAAAAAAAAAAAAAATCGTTAAAATCGGACAATTAGGAGCAAAGATATGGTCTATAGTTTTTTTTAGATGTTCTATTGCAAAAGTTTTATCTTTTGTTTTGATTTTTTAATGTGTTACTGAAGTAATGCTATTTTTTAGCATATTACTAATGATTAAAAAAAATTTTAGTCCAATAATTGGAATCACTTTTTATTTATTTTTATTTATAACTATGAATTTAATGTTACTTTATATGTATAATTGTTTGGAAATAATATACCATAGTGAGATAATTTGCAGTGGATTTTTTCAAATTAATTATCGTCATATATATATATATATATATAATCTTTCGGGCTGAAGCCCCTCCCCCAAAATTTAATCTGGATCCGGTAGTGTACATCACTATTATAAGAGCAAAAGTTCGAATGTAAAAATTTTCAGCTTTAATTCTGTGTTAATGGTGACATTTTGTAGTCTGCATCTGATATAAGTAGTCTGCTACTATGGAAAATAGCAGATGACAATAAAATATGAAATTATTCTAATAAAACATAAAGAAATTATGATTTTTTATGCACTCTTGTAAAACAATAATTAAATTTGTACGTAAGACCTTTTGCACTAACAGTATTGAAATTCATGTTCAGTATGCATTTTTTTTTTTTTTTTTTATTAAGCATAATCAAGTATGGAATCTTCAAATACGACACTCTTTTGTTGAATGTTGAAGGGTAACTGTAATCGGCTATTCCGATTCTCCTTCTATGAGAGATTTTATTCTCTTACGAAAAATTGTATACCTTGTAATATACAACGGAAACGGTGAGGAAGCTATACTGACCTTACTTGGCAGACGTTTTTTCTTTGTAACTCGGAAGGTAATGTTACTTTAGATGTATAATTGTTTGGAAATAATAAACCATTGTGAAACAATTCGCAGCGTTTTTCAATTTAGATGAATGTTTCACGACTTTGAAATATGTCTTGATAAGGTGAGAAATAGTTCTATAAGATGAATCCATGAAAAATATAATAACATCAATATTTAAGTTTTTAGACGTAAAAATTCAAAGAAATTTTCTTAACCATTCAGCTTTTGGTGCATTTACGCTATGTTGGCTTGAAAAAATCATCCTCTGATAATCCGTTTGTTTACGTATTAGGTTCTCCTTTCAATGGGAGCTATTTTAAAATGAATTTTTTGGGGCTGCAAGAAAATGTCAACCTATATCAGTAAGCCAATATATTCAAGGTGCAAGGAAAAATTGAGAGAATATTTCAGCCAAGATATATCAGTTGAAAGATAAACAGCTTTAAGTTAAATAAAATGATTAGATTACACTACGAAAATTGATATTTTCTTTTACAGATATTTTATCCGTCAAAACTGCGTAAATGCAAACACGCTAAAAGCACTTAAGCCACTTTTTATCAGAAGAAATTTTGAATTTCATTAAAAATATTTTATTAGAAAAGTTTTATTTTTTTAAAACATTAGGACTGTTACGAGTAGTATTGCCCAAAATCGGTCTTGGTATTTTTCAAGACCATGACAAAGACTGGATCCTGCAAAATTTGAACAAGAACAAGACTGACCTGCAAGACTCTTGCGTCTTGCAGTTAAGTAAAACTGAGACTATTTTGAAATATAGTACAGTGCTTTGATATTTTAACTTTACTTTAATTCTAAACAGCGTTGTTTTTCTCGTTGAATTGTATATTTTAGTATAGCTTTCCAGAATAACAAAAAATTAAACATTTCC